TTCTTCTTCTTCCTCCTACCATCACCCACCTCCGTTTTTTTTTGTTTTTTTTTCTGAAATTCGTCGGGCAGCGGGCACACACCTACCACCCCTTCTTCTTCCTCCTCTTCTTCTTCTTCCTCCTCTTCTTCTTCTTCATATCCATCTTCTCTCCACCTTCTTCTTCTTCTTCCTCCTCTTCTTCTTCTTCTTCATCTCCATCTTCTCTCCTTCTTCTCCCTCTTCTTCTTCTTCCTCCTGCCATCACCCACCTCCGTTTTTTTTTTTTTTTTTCGGACCTCCACTGCGACCACCATGGTGGACAAACTCCGGATTGGGCCAGAGTCACTGGACAGACTCCGGATTGGGCCAGAGTCGCTAGACCAACCCCTCCCGATCAGTTGTTTAGCAAGGATATTCCCACGGAGGCCGGGGACGGATCGCAGGGCATAGTGTACAAGAGGAGGGCCCGAGCTGCTGGACTCGACCACCCACAAGATGCAGCTGCAGAACGTGAGCCATCGTCGCCGCCCGAAATCAACGCGAGCTTGGTGCGCCAAGTGAAGAGTTTGGCGGGCAGAAAGAAAGGAGGGAAGAACAAGCCAAAGGAGACAGCGGAACCGTCGAGCCGAGGCAGACGAGGCAAGGGACGCAAGACAGCCACACCGCCGGCGACCTTGCAAGAGAAGCGTGCTGTTGTTCGGCAGGCAAAGAAGAGGAAGGCACAGATAGTTCAGAAGAAAGCCAGTGCGAAGAGGAGGAAGTGTGTGCAAGAGGACGATGAGTCCGCAAGCAGCAGCGCTGCGTCTTCCGCAAAGGAAATGAAAGCGCGGTCGAGTGACGCGTCGTCGTCGAGTGACACATCATCATCGTCCGACACGTCGTCTGCCTTGAGTAGCATACAGCGAGAGAGAGAGAGAGAGAGAGAGAGAGAGAGAGAGAGAGAGAGAGAGAGAGAGAGGGAGAGAAACGTTCTTCGTCCCCTTCTTCTTCTTCTTCCACTGCTCCCTCCGCTTCCGCTTCTTCATCATCTGCTTCTTCCTCCTTGAGTCGTCGTCTCTTTCGTCCATGTCCGGGGTGGACTGTGTTTTCGATGATGTCATGGACGTCGTGACTGTGCTGCTGTCTACTGAATCGTCCATAAGGACCCTGTTTCGATGTTGCAAAATGCTTTGTAGTTGCAATTCTGTGCTGCTGTCGACTGAATCCTTTTTTTTTTTTTTTTTTTTT